TACTGGGCTAGATGGACCTTTGGTCTGACCCGGTACGGCCGTTCTTATGTTATGTACGTAGAGACTGTCTGGTTTGGCCAATGTACATGGCAGAGGGGCATTGCTGGCACATGATGGCATATATCACATTGGTAGATGTGCTGGTGAACGAGCCTCTGATAGTGTGGCTGATGTGATTAGGTCCTATGATGGTGTCCCCTGAATAGATATGTGGACAGAGTTGGCAACGGGCTTTGTTGCAAGGATAGGTTCCTGGATTAGTGTTTTTGTTGTATGCTGTATGGCTGCTGGTGAGTATTTGCTTCAGGTTTGGGGGCTGTCTGTAAGTGAGGACTGGCCTGTCTCCCAAGATCTGTGAGAGTGATGGATCGTCCTTCAAGATAGGTGGTAGATCCTTGATGATGCGCTGGAGAGATTTTAGTTGGGGGCTGAAGGTGACGGCTAGTGGCGTTCTGTTACTTTCTTTGTTGGGCCTGTCCTGTAGTAGGTGACTTTTGGGTACTCTTCTGGCTCTGTCAATCGGTTTCTTCACTTCAGCAGGTGGGTATTGTAGTTGTAAGAACGCTTGATAGAGATCTTGTAGGTGTTTGTCTCTGTCTGAGGGGTTGGAGCAACTGCAATTGTATCGTAGAGCTTGGCTTGAGCCAGGCAGAGCACAAGTAAACCCCGTCCTAGCCTCCTCTCAACAACACTGTTAATGCACCTCGCAGCCAACCTGCTACTTCACTGAATACCAGGGGGGGAGCTGTATGGGCCCGTGGTGCCTGGGCTCCAGCAATATTTAGGGCCCGGCTCCACCAATGTTTGGGGCCAGGTCTCTCCCCCAGCCCTGCCTGCAGCCCCCTCACACCTCCCCGAGTGTGCCCCCGGCCCCCACTTGCTGCCCCCGTGGTGTCCCTGCCTCTCCTCTGCAGCTCCACATTGACTCCGCTCTGCTGGCTCCCGGCATCAACTGCCGCCGCAGGGTCCTGGTGCCCCCCATCCACTAGTGGCAGGGCAGGCTGCCCTTACCCTGCCCTTCCGCCTCGGACCATTCCCTTTTCTGGCAGGACCCTCCACCAGCACCGCCCTTCCCCTTGCCCACAGTCACTGCTCCTGCCCCACGCTGGGCAAGGGGCAGCCCCATCCCTCCCTCCCAGTGAGGGGCAGCAGCAGGGGAGGAGGCGCACATGTGATGGCAGCCTCACCCCAGTACCCACCACAGGGGAGGCGAAGGGACTTCCTGGACCTGAGAGGGGCTCTAGGAGCACATGCAGTGACAGTGGTGTGAAGTGAGTGTGGTGAGGGGGGAAGAGAGGCCCCTCCCCCAGGGCTCACTGCTGCCTGGGGGGCGAGGGCTGGGGGGAGTCCTCTCTGGCCCCAGACCCAGGGCAGCCTGCCTGCATCCCAAACTCCTCATCCCCAGCCCCGCCACACCCAGAGCCCGCATCCCCAGCCAGAGCCCTCACCCAACCCCACCCCACTGCCCTAGTTCTGAGCCTCTCCAACACTCCGCACCCCTCATCCACAGCCCCAGACAGAGGCCTCACCCCCACACACACACTCCTAGCCTTTGCCCTAGCCCTGAGCCCCTCCCACACCCCAAACCCCTCATCCCTGGCCCCAGCCAGAGCCCTCATCCTCCCACACCCTAACCCTCTGCCCCAGCCCTGAGCCCCCTCCTGCAGCATGAACCCCCCAGCCCCACCCAAAGCCCTCACCCCAACCCTAACCCCCCTCCCACACGTCAAACCCCTCATTCCTGCATCCCCTCTCACCTCCAACTCCCTCCCAGAGCCTGCACTCCCCCTTCCACCCCCAAACTCTCTCCCAGAGCCTGCACTCCTCACCCTACTCCTGGACACCCACCCCCTGCCCCAGCCCGGAGCCTGCACCCAACCTCCATTCCAGAGCCTGCACTCCCACCCTCTTCCCACACAACCTCTCCTGACTCCAAACTCCCTCCCAAAGCCTGCACCCCAGCCCTCCGCACTCCCTCCCAGAGCCTGCACCCCCACCCCTTACCCCAGCCTACACCCAAACTCCATCCCAGAACCTGCACCCCTTGCCCCCTCCTGCACCCCCACCCCTTGCCCCAGCCCAGAGCCTACACCCAAACTCCCTCCCAGAGCCTGCACCTCTCACTCCCTTCTGCACCTCCACCTCCAGCCCATAGCCTGCACCAAGCACCCAAACTCCATCCCAGAGCCTGCACCCCAGACCCCCTCCCCCACCCAAACTCCCTCCCAGAGCCCAACCTCTCACCCCTTTTGCACTCAAACTCCCTCCCAGAGCCTGCACCCAATCCCCTGCCCCAGTCCAGGGCCTGCATCCCAGACCTCCTCTCCCCACCCAAACTCCCTTCCAGAGCCTTAGGCAGGTGGGGGCAGAGTTTGGGGGGGGAGGGGGGTTCTGGGCACCACCAAAATTTCTACAAACCTGCCACCCCTGCTGAACACAACAGCTTTGCAGTATGCAAGAATGGAGACTAGGATGAGAGCAGTCAATACACTCTCTTGTGACTTAGCCTAGGACCCAAGTCTTCAGAGGCTAGTGCACTAACCATCCTGTTACAGGCTCACTTCACACTGCACTTTATCCAGGTTTCCAATGGGGTGACTGACGCAGAAGACTAGAGTGTATCCTCCCAAAGTCACTGCAAACCTGCACAAATTTGAATCCTTGCCCCTTCCTCTTTTGCTTCAATCACCAGACCAAGTTGGGCTGAATTTTAAAATGACAATGTAATAAATTATATTTATCAATCAGTCAAAGGCAATACAACAAACTATACGTCACCTCCTAATGCAGAGATAATAACTATCTGAGACACGAGACCATGGTAAGGTTGTCAGGATGAGGGAAGGATGTCATTGGCAGCCTCCCAGCTGTGGGTACAATGTTCAATTCACAATGCTATCGCCATCAGCATGCTGCTGATATTCACAGCTCTGAATGATCCAGTTTAAGTCTAAGTCTATCTCCTTAACTAACAGCTGACACACATCTTCTTTACAGCCCCCTTTTCCTATTTTCTTCTTTTGTGGTTGTGATACTTGTCTTCAGCCCTGAAATAGAAAACAAGCCATTATAGCCAATGTCTTGTTAGGATCTCAGCATTTAACAGATTACTCCAAAACTGCTTGGCTGACTGAACTTTCATTGATGAGAGTCTGAACATTAGAGAAGCCCGAAGTCTTTCAAGACTGAAAATATCCTTTAAATCTAAGCACTTCCTTCAAAATCTTGTCACTGTCTTCCCTTTGAGGGTTCATTTCCAGTGAGCTTTATTCAAGTCTCATTGCACAACCCTGCACTCTGACAGAGCACAATGTATCTTGGAAAAACAACTGCATAAAGCCATTTTATGAGACAAGCAGCCACTCCATCCTATGCACCAAAGTATATGGTCAAAGCATTTGTGTTTTTGTGAGCTCATACACACTTGCTAGGAATTGTGCTATACAATTTCTCCCATTTCTGTTATAAACCAATATAGGGTCACAAAGAGAGCCCAGGAGCCTGACAGGAAAGTGTTTTGAATAAGCTCCTAAAATCACACTTGGAACCAGCTGGGATCTGCTGGCTCAAGGACTTGCACCAGTGCCAGATCCAAGTGAATTCTATGGGACTCCATCAACTCTGCACTATGGGCATGAGACTCTGCACTTGTAGATCCCACTGCAGGATCATCATCTCTTTGCTTTTAGTACTAAAAACTTTTAGTTCTCTACTTCTTCAGTGGTGTTGGTGTCACTCATTATGAGGAGTTTTGTTCTGAAGCTTAGGAAAGCTTTCCGTTTAGAAAAAAAAAGATCAGACACCTGTAAGTGAAGCAAATGGTAGAGCTGGCAACCAATCTAACTGGTAGATCCCCATGCAAACTCCTCAGAAGTATGTATTAAAATTCACTACATGTACACCAACTAAGTAACTATCAATAATACAAGGTGTGGTTAATTCATAATATACAGCCCATATAACACAAGCAGAGAGCACTAAGTGACTCTTCGGGTCAAATCTGAGCCAATGCTCCTGCATTGTTAGGGACAAGTCACTGCCGGAGGAGCCATCTTTTGGATCCCTGATTAAACCCTGAAATCTGGATCACTTGTAGTTTTTTAAAGATCCCACAGCAAATTCTGCTTGGACAGGGGCTTTGCTTGGCTGATCTGGGTTATTACTTTCTGCCTCTCTGAATTCTCCTGCATTTCTACTTGGATTGAGTATTACGTTCCTGCACTAAACTCGGATGCACCGTTACATTTCACTGGTGACTATCATCACTGACTGGTACAGGCAAACAAATTGCTTAGAGTAACACTTGCCTCTCTCTTTTTCTCCTGGAATCCCTGTCTTTGCCTCTTTCTCTACTTCTTTTTTGTTTGTCTGGACTTCTGCTGGGATCTCTCCTGTGTCTAGATCGATCAACATCCTTAGAGCTTCCACAAGACTGTCGAGAGTCCACTGATGCTGACCGTCTCTCTTCGTTTCTGAAGAAAAAAGTTATTGGTTTTAATAAATAGTTTCATAAACACTGTAGTTATTAGAATACTTTTAATCTCCATTGGTCTGCCTCTGGTAGGCAACGAAAAGGAACTGTATTCCATTTGGTAGGATCATTTTCTTCTTCTTCTCTTGTTTGTGATAATAAACGCTTGGAAACAAGACACTGATTTTGGCTTCTCTCGTTTGACAGGCTGCAATTTCTTCCCCCAGTTCTTTAGGTGCAAAGGCTGAAATAGATCCGATTTGTTTACTATTTCAACCACCCAAATCAGGAAATAAAAATGGGAAGCATTACGCAGTGACGAGGACACACTTCCATGTTACACAAGTAATAAAGTCTATCCTGTTTTCTTTTTCAATACCCAAGTGAAGGATTACTGTTGATGTTAAGTATACATAAGATACATGAACATAGCTGTGTTGCACTGCTAGTTTAACTCTGAGAACCTTAAAGGGACATTGTCAACTTGACATCTAATCAGTTTTTTAAACTATTTTGAACTCCCTTTTTAAGGTACTATTCCAATCCTGCATCTCCCCGCCAATTCTTGTGTTTTAAAAGTCACATTTTCACAGGTTCTTCTCTCCCTAGCTGCTCTGTGACAGTCTGAGACCTGTGATTATAGCACTGTACTAGGACTCAGGAGAGTTTATGTTCATGTCCTGGCTCTGCCATAAATTGCTTGTGTGGCCTTAGGAAAAAGTCACTTCATTTTCCCCATCTGCAAAATGGGAATAACACTTCTTTTCTTCCGTCCTTTGTCTTGTCTACGTAAGCAATTCGCTCCTCAGGGCAAGGATTATCTTAGTATGGATTTGTACTGTGGAGTACAATGGGTCTCTTTCTCAACTGGGCCTTCTATGTGCTACTAGAATACAGTAATAGGTCGCTATGGATTGACGGTTGCCAGCGTCCCTGCACAAAGAAAGCATTTTGGTGAGTGCTGTGAGGTTCTTGTTAATACCTTCCTGAAGATTTTGCTGAAATGGAAGATCTTCCTCCTTCACACGTCTCTGCATTGTCTGGTTTACCTTCCTCCTGCCAGTGGCTGCTGAGTTCTTCCATGTGCACACCAATCACATCTCTGATTACCTGGGAAGAGATTAGTAAAAGAAAACTTGAAGCTAAAATAGACTAGAAAACACCAGGCAAAAGATGAGGTCTGAGGTGTTGTTTTTAAAGGCACTAGATATTTGTACGGAAAAACGTTTGCTGAAATAAAAACTCCAAAGTAACTTTATTAAAATGCACCTTAAAGGGACACTATCAATATGTAGGTTGCTGGAATTTGCACGTACAAAACTCAGTATTAAAAGTAGCTGTGATAAATATATTCAGTAACTTGCAGTGAAAAAAGTTTTCTGTTTGCATCTGAAAACATTTCTCTGAAGTCTTTGCAACCCCCAAATAGCTAAGGCACAAGAAACTGATACTGAAATTGACTAGTTTAGCCTCACTGTTCAGGAACGAAGAATAAATAACATGATGGGCACAAGATTTTTAAAGTTCTTTCATTTTTAACAGTCTCAGCTGCCGGTATCGTAATAGGAGTAAGGAAAAATGCATTTTAAATACATATGGTTTTTAACCCTGCAGTGCCCTTCTAAGTAGTTTATGCAACTTTCAAATTGACATAGCTCAAACTACAGGATAGCCACAAAGTGATACCAGGAAACACCAACAACCAACCAGAGGAGATAAATACTTTAAACCATTAACATTTCTTTTTGAGATTTATAAAATTGCTAACACATTTACTAACCCACATCTTTAGACTTGGTCAAAAAGTTTCTTTAAGGTTTTTTTGCCTAGGCATCATAGTTAAAACTGTTTTTACTAATCTGAATAGAGCACATTAGAGAGTGTATGCTGTGAAAAGATTAAGCATTCCAATACCTGCAAGGTCTTGCATTCTCTACAAAAACATTTGATGCTCACCTCAGTGTAAGATTTCTTTGTTATATGAACATTCTTAGCTCTGTACGACTGCCGCCGTCTTTTATAGTCCCGCATTTCTGCCAGGATTTCAAGATGAGACTTTGGACCTTTTTGACCATCATCTAATAAAATATCGAATGTGAAACAAGTGGTTAAACAAACTAAAAAAAAATTTCAGAGGCAATACATCGGCACTTGAGAATACATAATAGGGTTGTCTTAGAATGGTGCTGTTTACAGGACTAAAGGTAAGTTTGTGTCAAGTTCTTTTAACAGATGTTTCTCTGGTATTTACTTACAGCATCAAACAGTGTCTAGGGAAGTTGGAGAGAAAGCTGGAAGAGATCTGCTTACACAGTAAAGACCAAAATCAACAACCAAAATAAAAGGCATTCAAGCCACCATACAAGATTATTACATGAACTCTGAGACACTGCAATAAGACCAATGTAGTGACTTGAAATAAGTTATTTAACAACAACTGTCCTAAATACTAATTTACAAGTTGCATTTTCAAAACCCCTATTATTGAACTGCGGAAGTCTGGCAAACAGAGGGATTGATCCAGCAAATGTAAATGTCTATGGCCATGCAGATCCTTTTGCAGGATCGGGCTCCAGAAATAAGGCATTTTTTCCCTGCATGTATATTGTACCTTTTACAGAATATAGTAATTGGAGGAGTCCTGATCTGTCTCACTAGTTTATATATTTCTCCAGAATTTTCTTTGTGCCAAAAGACTATCGTGTGTCTCTTATCACATTTCTATTGTTACTGTTCCATGCTGCTTTTATCTCATATCAGCTTTCACAGCAGAAATCTTGCAAAATTTCACATTCAGTTGTGAGCCAAAGAAGTGCAGGCCTGTTGCAGAAGAAATGAAGGATCCCTCCTCCTGCTGAGATGCAGGCAACAGATACAATGAGAGAAGTGCAGAAGAGCTGTTTGGACAGGAAGCTGGCAGAACTGAAGGTGGAGAAAGATACAATAGGCAACTACACAAAGACCACCACATTACAGGATCTGAACGTATCTTACCTGTGTCCTGAATTGTACCTTTTTTTTTATTAAAAGAACTATAATACAAAAAGATTATTTGCCAGCTCTTTTCCGGGCTAGTTTGCATAATTTTTGCCCTTCTCCTAGAATCCACAATTTGGTTTACATTTTATTAATTCAAACCTGAATAGATGTTCAACCAAATCCCTCTAACTGTAGAAACGTGACAACATTTGAAAATGACAAACACTGCCATTTTAAGTTGTAAAACTCAAGAATTTGAATGTTTCTCAAACCTTGGGTGACTTTAGCAGCCAAATCTACAAAGAGATCACTGTCGTTTTCAGTGGCCTGGGATCTGGACCTCTGTTTCTTCGTCTCTTCCAGGACATAATCATAGATTGCAAGACGATCAGCTTGAGTCAGGTCACAGATGAAGCGTTTGTGGTTTTGGGGAACTTCAACAGGCAGTGAAGAATAGGCACCTAAAGCTTGTGAACAAATGGACATTATTACTTCTATAAAATGGCAATACTGCTACACAAAGAAACTTGTGGGGAGGAGCAAGTGTACTGGCACTAGGAACTTGGACACTATTTACATACTTTTCACTTGTGCAAGACAGACTTCTTTAGCTTTACTGGATTCTGATAGCTCAAAAAGTGCTTCAGTTGGCCTAATTTTAGGAAACCCACTGAAATCTGCTTCATGAAATGAGGACTCTGTAACAGACTGTCACCAAATGGCCCCAACACTTCTATTTCGTTAACTTTCCTCAGCACCTGGGGAGCCAGGAGTTTTGGTGTCTCCTGCAGGGACTATGAGGGCTATTTGGGGGAAAGAGAGAGAACGCACACAAAAACTATCTAGTCCACAATACGATTTCCTGTATTGTTATTAGTGACAGCCCACTAGCCTGCAAAAGAATGTTTTTGTACTGGTCCAATAGTACATATTTATTTTACAATTTATTTCCAAATTTCAACTGCAAACTAGTTAACAGCCAACATTCTACTGGCAATAATTGGAATGAAAGCCTCTGTTTAATCAAACAGATAATGCTCAATTGTCTGCTCTGACTGCTTTCAAAGATGATTCAGAATAAGCTACCTTCTACCCGCTCACATTACTAGTCAGTTTAAAAACCCTGAAGAGAAGTGATGTGCAACAAAAGCATTTACAATTGGCAAAACAGAGTTGCCAGTCTCCTCCCAATTATTAGTCTATACTTACTCACTAGCTATACAGTTACCAAGATGTATTCGTTACCTGCTGGCTAAAAAAAATCTGCTTCCCCAATTTATTAAAGCTGTAGTCACTCTCCCTGTTTTATGGCAAAGATTTTATTTCCTTCAAACAGAATAGTCAAACCCTCAGTCACACTCTCTCCAACACACTGTAGCATTGCAAAGTGAATTTCTTGAAACAACAGAATATGGTACAGTACTTATGAAAGGCTACCACTTGCAGAAAGAATACTGTATATCCTTTAGGCCTTGTCTACGCTGTCAGGGGCATGTAGGTTATGTATATCTACATGCTGCACTGAAATACGGGCTGCATTCACACGGTGGTGGTTAGTGACACATGGCAACAAAAGGCCCTGGCAGGGGAGAAGCAATGGAAAAAGGTTCCAACAGCGATGCCAGAGCCCTTCCTTGCAGCAGGAAAAGGCTCTAGCAGTGGGGTGATGCTGGAGTCTTTCTCCACTGCCTCCCCACTGCTACAGCCTGTCCTTGCACTGGAGAAAGACTCCGGCAGTGGAACACTACACTGCTAAAAATAGCTGTGTATATGTGAGAGGCACTGCTCGTTCATATCAAGAATGAGTAGAGTACATACCCTAAAGTTCAAGTGTGTCTTTACTCTACTTGCCCAAGCAGTGCCTCACCATCTACTCTGCTATTTATACCTGGGCTAGGTGGGCGTGCAGTGTATGTACAAAACACACACTGTAAATGGAGACAAAGCCTAAGTAAGGAGAAGATTCATCTCCCTAATTCCCCTTCAGTCTCACCCCTGCTCATGAAAGAAGAATCAAGGATATTTTTATTTAAAAATATTTCAAGAGCAGAAAGATCAGCTAGGTCCTTTTCATTCACGATGGTGTTATATCACAGCAATGACTACACTGGAAGAAGAGAAAAGCTAGAACTCTCTCTGTTTAGATGTGCTGATCCAGATGTGACGCAGATTGAGAACCCGTGAAATATGCCCTATTTTCTGTTACATTTGTAACAACTTACTGGGAATTCCACCTATTCAAATAAAAGTAGCTGTGTTTACCTGAAGGTCTGCTCAGCTATCACCCTCTTTTAAACAAGCCAAGGAAACTGAAGGCAAAATTTGTGTTAACAGATATTATGTCTGAGGTTTTAAAATGCAGACAATTCATTCTTCTGGTTCCTACAGCAACCTTAATTTGACAATTATGCACCATAAAACTTCACATTTCTTGATGACTGTGTATTAAAAACCTGGACTACAACTTTGCATTAGTGGAGAGTTTTAGAGAAAAGAATAAGTGTTTACTAAGTAACTTCTTAATTTATTATCAGGTTTTATTAGGTGAATGTGGACAGTTTGGACAACTTTGGTTCTTTCTTCAGATCGCTTCTAAAAAGCGCAAGAGCACGTTAAAATAGGATGGTGAGCTATAACTGTGACACCTAGTGGCCCATAGATGTATTTTTGCAATATAGCATATGGTACATGTTTTGGTGTTCGTTTAGTTTCTTTTAAAGCTGTCCAGTACATTCAGGTTAGATTAAGATTTGAAATTAAAATTACTACAGCTTTGTTAAATCATGGGGAAAAAACCTCATATCTTCCAAATACGCCATCAATACTATGAAAATTTCCAGGTTCCTCCTTTCCGAAGAGCCCATTCTACCGGTTTCCATTTCTATACTAGAGGAAAAAAAAAAAAGAGCAGAAAAGCCTGCCAGTCAGTGCTGCTGTACTCAGCTGCTGAGTTAGCCTGTCAAAAAGGAAGAATGAGCATACACTTTTTTTCCCCTATGTACACTAGGGCTGCCAATTTTGGCTGGACGTATTCCTGGAGGTTTCATCACGTTACAATCTCTTAATTAAAAATTAATCTTTAATTCCTGGAGACTCCAGGACAATCCTGGAGGGTTGGCAACCTTAATTTGTGCACATGTATGTATTTTAAAATGAAAAAGTTAGTAGCTTAATGCAGTTTTATCCAGGTGCCACAATCATTCCCACAGTGCACACTATAGCTCTACTGCCATCTGTACAAGCAAGCACAGTCTGTCAAGAGTCTGTCTTGATTTCATCTTTCATTCTCTTGAGAAATCTATTTCTGTCCTTTCCTGGGCTCCAGGCTGTTTTGTGTGTTCTCTGCTGATCAGTGAAAAACAGGATGTAAGCACTTAAATGTATGGGTGGACACACTGTCCATACTATCTAAGGGGGAGCAGGCCCCTCTGACTAAATCACTCTAACTCCTCTTAGGAAAGTTTGCAATAATCCATTGTAAAAACGGAAATTGAAGGTTCACGTATCATGGGGCAATGAAAGACAGCTACATATCACATACCCAATAAAACAAATGTTAGTTTGGGGATTCAGAGGAGGAAGTGAAAACAAAAAGGAAGGTTTCTTGTCCAGGAAAAGTATTCCCAGCAGTGGGAGTGGGGTTCGGTCTGAGGGGGTTCTGGGCTGTGGAAGGCAGAAGAGGGGGCAGCTCAGAGAGCTGGGCCAGAGGGAGTCAGTAGGGGGAAGATTTTAAATAGTGGGATTGTGGGACTGGCATTAAAGAACATCGTGAGCTTTGCAGGGCTAGATTTCCAGTCCTGAAGATAGCTCTTGAGTTGAACATGGAGGACTTGAACCCTCCCCAAATCCCAGGTGAGGGAGGAGAACACAGCTGTGGGGACCAGAGGAAGTAAGGGAGCAAATAAATATTGTATGACAGTGAACCCACAAATGAGATCAAGGGAGACTAGGAAAGAGGTGGCTTGATGATCACGAATAAGAGGAGAGATGGCCCACACTACAGAAAATCTGGAGAACCCCTGGCTTAATCTGTGTACTCTGCTTACCTTCACTGGAGCCTCCACCTTCTTTAGCACTCAAAGCTTTAGCTTGTTTAATAATCTGAAATTGTAGATCCTTGTCTGAAAAAAAGGAAAAGAGAATTTTACAAAGCTCCTGCACCTTTGTACAAGTACACCCTGAGGTATGTGCTAGATCTGTGCTCTTAGCTGGCGAGGTTTAATGGACAGGTAGGCAGTGGTTATTGTACAGAGAGAATAATATTCCTCATCCTGAATTACTGATGTTCAGCAAAAGGCCATCAGACACTCAGGAATTCTTTGACTGTAATGGAAAATTTTTAACCAAATATATTCTGGCTTTTTAAAGGTTTGTTCTTACATCCATTCCACGTTATTTTGTCCAGAAAACCAAACCACAACCAGTTAATAACATTTGTATTTATTCTACAATTACATGTAAATGATATCAAGTTACTCCTCTGGTCCTGCTAGCAGGGCCGGCTCCAGCTTTTTTGCCGCCACAAATGGCGAGGGGAAAAAAAAAAAGGAAGAAAACGATTGAGCTACCGCCAAAATGCTGCTGAGGAAGACAGGGAGTGAAGGACCTGCCGCTGAATTGCTGCAGAAGACTGAAGTGGACTGATTGGGCTTCCGCCAAAGTGCCGCCGCCGCCGACGACCCGGACATGCCACCCCAACAATGGACAGACGTGCCGCCCCTTTCGATTGGCTGCCAGAGGGACCTGCTTCCTTCCCTGGTGCCTGGAGCCAGCCTTGCCTGCTAGTGTATCCTGTCTCCTCTGTGTCTGTTTTTCAGGTTCTAAACTCCTCAGGACACAGACTCACACTGTGTGTCTTGCTTTATTATTTAATATTATTATTATTACTGTGCTGTGCAGATTTTTCAAACACTTGTTATATAAACATCTGTTAACTGTAACTCTGCCATTTAAAGTGGGACAAGTAACTGAAGGTCACATTTTCATCTGCCTTAAAAGGGCCTTATAATCTTGGGGGCAATAACCTCTAGATTCCAGAATTTGGAAGCAAGTACAGTAATGCACTGCAGAGACATTAAAGAGACTCCTCCCTCACCCAACCAAGAACCATCCCACACTAATGATTCCACTAGTTTATGTAGAACTGCAGTGAAAACAGGTCTCCCTTCAGAAGCTCTACTGCAGCAGCTAAACGCTATTCTTAGAGCTGGGTCAAACTGCTGAGTGGGGAGATGACATATACATGTGATCTACTCACATCACAGCTGAGTCCGGTGCACAAACAAGAAAGTAATAAAGCAAAGGGAACTTGCAAGCTGTGTTAGAGATATAGAAAAAACAACAACAATCTGCCACAAATATGCTGATAAATAAGTGGGAATTAAATTATAATATCCTCTTCAAACTTTGAAAATGAGAAGGAAAAACACCCTCTGACTAGCATCAGGTAAGGAAAAAAGGTGTGCTGCTCAGCTTTGCAGAATGAAGGTAAAGTGCCACAAGCCAAATTTATTTTAAAATCATCTAGATGGTGAGAATAATGAAGTTTCTCTTCCACTGGAGCAACTGAGGTAACATCAAAAAGAACAGGAGTGCTTGTGGCACCTTAGAGACTAACAAATTTATTTGAGCATAAGCTTTCGTGGGCTACAGCCCACTTCTTCGGATGCTGTAGCCCACGAAAGCTTATGCTCAAA